TTCGGAGACGAATGGTGAGTTTCGAGGCCGCCTCGAGATCACACCGCCAATGAAAACAGCCATGGCAGCCAACCCTGTCAACATCGATGCCACGGAGCCCGATCTCTGGAGCGAGTGCTGGAACAACATCATCTGGGGCACGCAGTATGACCTGGATCAGGCAGAGGCGGCGGCATTCAAGGAAGCCAAAGACCACACCGCAGTCTCTGGCAAAGGCATCAACCCGGGTAAGACCAGACGCCATTGGAGCAATACACTGGTGCACAACGACTACTACTGTCCGTATCCATTCCCACTGGATGTCTGCATTGTTGAACAGATTGCGTTTTGCTGGGATGAATACTGCCAGAAGGTTGGAAAGGCAGATGAGTGCATCGGAGATTTGGGGGTAGCCACTTTTCAAGGCAAGCCCCCATTGCCAACAAAGGAGCATGAGAAAAAGGATGCCAGTGGTGACATTGCCATGGGCCCTCCAACCACACCGCCCACCAAGACAGTCCCAAGGGCAGCCAAGTCAACAGCAGCTCCATCCAAGCAGAAAGGAAAGGGCAGAGGCTCCTGATGGTGTTCATGTAGATTGTACATACATGTCATCAGTATAAACCAACTTGCGTCCCAGAGCTGTCACCTTTTTCTCTGGTGGATGCCACGTTCCTTCCTGCAGGTGGCCACATTTGAACATTTTATAAGGCTGGCCACCCAGGAATCTGACCACACCGCCAGCAGTGCGGTGCGGCTGGGGATCAAGGGGATTTATACACAGGGACAAAGGGTTGAAAGTAAGTACCTGATTGGGGCCTCTTATTTTCAGCAAGGATGTGGTTCTGATGATTATGAAGTATATCTGCAAGCCATTCATAACAAGTTGATGCACTCTATTAATGGCAACACTACTCTCAGACTAGCATGGGAAGGGGACAACATCATTGCAAGTAGAACTATCCAACTAGTGGATTGTATTCCTGCTGAAGTTGACTCAGGTGATTATTTGAAATATACAATCAAAGAATTGCTTCAGCACAGACCTTCACAACATACTTTAATGCCAAGTGAAGAAGGATCACAAATCAAGACCACACCGCTCAGTAGGCTTTTACCTGTTCAGATCAAGGCTTCGAGCAAGAGATCCGGTAGAAGACATAAAGTAAAACAATCCGATGGTAGTTTCACCTTTTATAAGGGGCCTAAGCGTAGTTACCCTAAGGGTACCCCAGAATTCAACAGAATTCATAGAACTCAATCCTGTAAGCACAGCCGTACACCGCCTCCCAGAGGCACGCCGGGGGCCATTTTGGCCGACGAAGAGTGTTCCCCAAGCAAGGGGGGTAACCATACACAGTCTAGGGGAGCCATTAGGCGAAGGGCGCGTAGAAGGCTTTTCCGCTTATGGCGTAGGCAGTGCAAAAAACAAGAAGTTCCTGGGGCGGGCTCCCAGGCACTTAGCCCCCTTTTGCCCAAGAAAGCCACTCCGCGAAGGGCGAAGTGGTTCAGACAGTTCATAACATGGCAGTCAAATTTTGTTAGAAATAAGAAGCGCAGAATCACCACGTATCCGACCACACCGCCTATGCCTTACTCATCAAAGTTCCGAATAGGTAGTCTCAATGTACAGGGTTTCGCTGAAACTTTGAAGCTAAAAACCTCCTTACAAATTATGGCAGAGCATAGGCTGGATGTCCTAATTCTGACGGAGACCAAGAGCACGTCCTACTACTCCTATCAATCCGAAGGCTACCTCGTTATTCTCTCAGGTAACAACAAAGATAGGCATGCAGGTGTAGGCGCAATAGTTAGTCCTCAGGCTAGACCTCACCTCATGGATGTTATTCAGGTTTCCAATAGAATAATCCACTTGGCCTTCAAAAAGAAAGGGGGTAATATTCATGTGGTTGGAGCTTATGCACCGCACTCCAAAAGGGATCTGGAAGTAGATAGACAACCTTTTTGGGACAGCCTAGAGGAGCATGTCAGCAAAATTCCTCACCCAGAACCAGTATATCTGACTGGTGACTGTAATGTCAGAGTTCAGGCTCAACACAAAAATGATGAAGGCGTCACAGGCCCCTTTGTGTACGGTAAGGGATCCAGGTATATCGACCACACCGCCAATTCCAACAGGAGCTTGTGCGTTAGAGCTATGCAGTCTCTGTCAATGGTCGAAGCCTCCTCCTACCTTACCCCCAATCCTGTTCACCAAATCACCTACAGGGATAAAGCGGCCCCGCCATCAACGTGGTCACAGTTTATTTTGGACCCACTTATCATGCAGCAATTCTATGACCAGATGCACTCAAGGTTCCAGGAAGACGCTCTAGAGGTATCTGCTCTCATAAGATCGTTCATCATGACTGAGGACCTCTTGCCCCCTGATAGACAAGACCCACATCCTGATCCATCTAGATTCCAAAGACTTGACCACACCTTTGTAAGGCAACAATGGCTCAGTTCGGTCAATTCCTGTAGGTCTAAGCTCCA